TCGTGATTTTTATAACGAGGATCCAGAATCTTACTCGAATGAAATACATCAGTTGGAAAGTTTACGAGCAATGGCAACGCGACCGCTAATCGATATGACTGGTTGCTTGTTATTGAAAAAATATTATTGTCAATTACATTTTCTTCAAAGCAGATTTCCAATGGGAAAAGATGGTGCAGCAGCAGTCACATTTACATGGTAAAAACTATACGTTTAATAGAAAAATATTTTTGCAGTTAATCATTTAAACTTCTGTATAATTATATAGGAGAGATACATACGCGAATATGGTCTGTTCATTGGCGAATATTCGCTTTGAAATAATTTCAATATTATATAATATTGGTTCGATGCACACTCAATTGGGTGCACGTACGGAGAGAATATCAGCCGATGGTATGAGAATGGCCTGTGCTCATTTTCAGTGCGCAGCATGGGCATTCGAACATTTGAAGAACAGTTATCCACAGCCATCCGGTGTAGATTTAGCTCCAGAATTGATGACATTTATGCATCAGCTTTGTTTGGCCCAGGCACAGGAATGTATATTAGAAAAGAGTATGCTTGATAATCGCAAACCCACAATTGTAGGTATGTATTATACAATTAAAAATTGTACAGGTATGATCATATTTTGTGGCTTTAATTGTCTGCTCTTGTGTATCATTCTACAAGACATATGTATCATGCAGCAAAGGTCGCAAGACAAATAGTGGATTACTGCACTCTGGCGCTAACCACGCTTAAACAAGGTGGAAGCGAGGATGGAACTATATCGGACACAGTTGGTACCAAAATATATAAGGTACGGTTAATCCAAGAATATTCTTTTCGCGTCACAGCGTGCAAAAAGCTTAACAGGTTGTTGTTTCAGAGCTGGAAACGGTATGTAAAGTTTAAAAAGGCCTACCACTTGGCAGTTACGCATTTATATCAAGGTCTAGCAGCGGAGGAACAGAGAAAAATGGGGGAAAGGGTGGCATTTTATAACGCGGCGTTAGCTGCGTTAAACGAAGCACAGTCGATTTATGCCAACGCGAAGACTCAAGAGAAAACACTTATAGAAGAAGCACTTACGTTTACGAACGACGTGATAGAAGGGAAACGGAAAGCAGCTAAAAATGAAAATGAATTTATATACCACGAGGAAGTACCTGAAAAGGAAACTTTGCCCACAGTAAAAGGTGCCTCGTTAGTTAAAGGAATATCATTTAGTATAAACGATCCTGAAGTTTCGGGTCCCGACATATTTGCGAGGTACACTTTACGCTAACTCAAAGCGATTGCAACGGTTATTTCAATTATATTATTTACATCTGAATATATGATGTAGACTAGTACCGATGAAAGTTCACGAAGCGAGCTCTTTATACTCGGAGGAAAAAGCAAAGATATTACGGTCTGTCGGTGGAAAAATCGAGGATAAAGATCAGCAATTGAACACCTACTTGACATCTTTAAAATTGGAACACATGAGTTTATGGGACCCTGATCTTCAAACTACAGAATGGGAACGCTTGCCTCTTCCCGATGAACTGGTTGAAAGATGTGCAGCACTGAACGCGAAACAGCACGTCATCCAAGATTTAGTGGATATCATGGGGAAATTATCCAACACCAGTCAAGACGTGGAGAAGATATTAAAAGAAATTAATAAGCTTCTTCTTGATGAAGAAATGAAGTTGGAATTTCATTGTTTAGAGATCAATTTAATGATGTTTTTCGCGCGAACAACCGATTCATTGATATTTCCATTTTTTCGCAGAGAGAAACAGTATCAGGACGCGGTCGGGAAGAGACCACCGTCTATCGTAGCGACTGATTTAACCAGAGAGGCTAAAAAATACGAAGAAGCTCACAATAAAGCATCGGAGAGTAACCATGCTCTGCATAAAGCGATAACAATGCATGTGAAAAATTTGAAAATACTTGCTCAACCACTTGCAGAGCTTATCGCTCACATTCCGTCGCCAAGCGCATACCTTTCAGGTGCATTATAGTTCCCTATAAACTGCTTTCGTAAACAAATTAAAAGGTTTTTTCATACATCTCTTCGTATTTCTCGTTTGTAGAACAAAATAATGAGAAATCGCATACTGCTATTGAACTGGAACGAATGCACACGAAGGAGTTAAAACACATTTTAAATAAAGTGGACGAGATGCGTCGACAGAGAAACGAATTGCACACGAAACTGCGCGACTCTATAGCACAGGATGATTTAACGCGTCTATTAGTTACCGCCACATCCGATTCCGGACCTCTGGATCGTTTATTTACGGATCAACTTAGTAAACATCAAAGTTTGGTTAGTATTCGTGTTCAGTAACGGAACGTACCTATTATGAACTGTTTTTACCGGACTCGTTGTTGCAGGTGTCATTGATAGAGCAAAATCTTAGCGCGCAGGACAATATTCTAGCGGCTTTGACCGACGCATACGCTCAAACCGCCAATGTGCGAAAAGGAGTCGAGGAAATACTGAAACGCCGAGAACATATGGTGTCTTCTCTGATCGCATCTTACGACGCTTACGAAGATTTGCTAGGAAAATCCAGCAAAGGTCTCGAATTTTATAGGAAACTAGAAATAAATGTCTCGAAATTACTTCAACGAGTGAAGAGCACTTGTAAGGTACAAGAGGAGGAACGGGAGCACATTCTTGCTCAGGATAACAAGAGTTCTCAAGAAAAAGTCGACCCGATGACAACTACCGCTTACGATCAGAGCACCGTTCGGTCTGGTAGCGGTCTGAAATTGAAATATTATTTGAACAACAAAGCGGAGAATGTTCAGAGTCAATATTACAATACGTACAAAGGTCAGGCTAGGCCATTTCCATCGGACGCGACAGCGAAAGCATATCTGAACGACGCGGTGGACAAAAGTATAATTCATTCCGCTGGAATACCAGTGCCGGATGCAGCCGCATCTGCGCAGGCTATGCAACAGTATTATCCTACACCATACACAGACTACAAATCTAATTTACCATACACCTACGACACGATTTCGTATAGCGAAAATCCTACGGTAAACCATAGTTCGGGTCAAAGCTACGCGCAGATAAACAACACGGACACCGCGGATACCTATCCGCAAATACCTCCAGCTGGTACAACAACGAGCATAACGAATACCACTGCACATTATCCGACAAACTCTTTCGCGTCTAATGGACAATTCTCGGCAGTTTTGGATGGACAACACAAATATCCTACTAATTCGCAGCTACAGTACAATCTCCCTTCAAACGCGATGCAATACGAGGCTTATCAACCTGTAGCAGGTTACACTGGGTATAATGTCGCGCAGCAGTACGCCCCAGTCCTCGATAAGACCGATAACGCAGTTAAACCGGAAATTCGAAATGTATCTTCTCAAGTGTCGGTGGTTGCGCAGACCTCTGTACCGACGTCGACTACGGTTGGCAATCCTGTTAACGTGCATCCGAGTCTTTACATCGCACCGGATCAGCAACGACAGCAATACGTAACCGAGCCTCAACAGACACTTGTTTCTCAAGAATCCGCTGGAACCATTAGAAGTCACCATGTCTTGCCCGCGGATAATTCTCAGATGCAAAATTATGTTCTGCCGCAAATCAGTCAGAATGAAATTCTATCTTCTCAAGATTACAGCGGTGCAGCATACTATAACCAAACGGATCCACATGCTCAGCAAATCGCGTCCACCCAAAGCACACCTGGAACAGCTAATATCGCTGCCTCTTCGTCTTACATACCGTCGCAGTACATGAATACAAACATTCCACAGTCGGTTAATCCTACCACGTCCCTGACCGTTACAGGAAACGAGATGAATACTTCAAATTTACATAGCACCGCTGTCTCGCAGTATCGAGAACAGGGGAAACCAATTTATACGAACAAAACATACTCATATGGGACGCAAGTATCGATCAACAACACTGCTTTAAGTTACCCTAGCACTTATCATAGTTTACAACAGAACACTGGTGTTTCGTACCCACAAACAATGCTGCCTTCGGATACCTGTAACACGTACACATTCTCAAATTGCCCCAATACTACGGAAATAATTCAAAGTCACGCAAAATCGATGAACATCCAGAATTACTCGCAAATGTATCAATATCCACAACAGTCCCATTATTCTGGATACGCTAGTTATTCGCATCCTTATAATCAAGGATACAATTATATGCAAAGTAATCAAATGACGAATGCAGTGACAGAGCCCTACAAAGGGCAAATGGCATACGTGTATAATCCTACTAGTCAGTGTTACGAATACAATTCGATCAATCTTCAAAGTACGCAAGCTGTTGTTCAGGCACAACAACAACAACCTTCTGAGTTGGCGCTGCAGACGACTGTTAAAAATAGCAATGTTTACCTGGCTCAAGAGAGCAACTCGACCTATACGAATGCTAGCAATAATGCTGTGGTAAGTCAAACACCGTCTTCTCAGTATTCCGGACAGCCGTATCAACCGCAAGGAACAGCCGATATTTATTACACTACACAGTACGGTCTTCAAGTTCAAAGTCAAGGTAATCTCGGCGCCGAACGTTCGTCGGAGCTTTAAAGAAACAAGTATTCTCGCTTTTAAATCTTCCATTCTTTTATCTTTTAGCGACCACTGTCAAGAATGAAAACCATTCCAATTACAACCAGACGTATATGCAAGCTGTTAACAATGGAACGAACACTACAACCAGCGCGAATCCTACAAAGTCTACCACAAAGTCATCGGAAAAATCAAACGTGGATTTGTTGTCTGATCTCGACATTACTATAAATCATGCACCCCTAGTACCAGAAATACGGCCCCTGAATAAAACTCTGACGCAAGACGAGCCTGTAGTAAGCACTTCTGACGTCGAAAGCAAAAAGGAACAAAAAGCCGATGGCGAGCAAGTCAATGCTCAAACTACCAATAACGAGGACAAAGTGGAAAATGAAAATTTACAAATAGTCTGGGATACGTGGTACAACGACGTGCAACCGAAAAAGGATCCCTTGGGAGATCCAGTGGCTCTACAAAAATTCATTAGCGAAGTTGAAAAATATGAGAAATTTATAGACAGTCTGCTTGTTAAAACGTTAAGCGGAGCGACCAATCTTGACATAAAATGGAAGGAAATTCAAGAGTTCGAAGTAACGTTGTTTATACCACTTTTTCGCGGTATAAAGTATATTATCTTCGACGTTGTTAAATGAACTCGTTTAATTTTAGGAAAGAGAAAGTGGAAAGCAATCGTGTACCGTGGCGCTCGCTCATTCCTCGGAGAACAGAGTAATGGATTGTATTCCGTATGATGCGGCCAGGGTTCAAATTTTATCAACCGACGTTCCAAATTATATCAATGCTTCCCATGTAATGGAAATCACGCAATGGATACCAACGTCGTTCATTATTACTCAGACTCCATTAGCAGATAAGACAGAAGTATTTTGGGTAATGATATGGGAGCAGGAATGTGAAATAATTGCATGTCTGGCAACGGATGCGCAGGTAAACTAAGTGTTCCATAACCCAGGAAAATGTTCAAGGCAAGATTACTCGTAGTAACTGTTTCTTATTTTATTCTCAGTTAAATGGTGAAATATACTGGCCTATAAACGAGGAAGACATTTTAAATATTGGTAACTTCACGATTTCGTTGAAAAAGAGGGTGAATCACGTATCCTACATCCAGAGGGTTATGTCTGTATATAATGTTAAGAAAAAATCAGAAAAGACTGTTGTGCATATGCAATTCCTGACATGGCCTTCCAAGTGAGTGGTCGCAAATAAGTTACACCGATATACGTATACGTAGGATTTTTCTTTATATTATTATACAAATATTGTGATTCACGTAATATCTTGCTTCTCACAGTGGTTTCCCTAGTAGTCCAGGTGCGTTGCTTACATTTTCAACGGACGTAATGACAGAACAAGCACTACGACGTAGCTCGAAACCAATTGTCGTTCACTGCCTGGATGGAGGATCGTTGAACAGCTTATTTTTGGTCGCAGCAGCAACAGTGTATCATATACGCGCTGGATGTGGAATAGTCGATGTACCTCTTCTATTCAAAGGCCTTCTCAAGTGTCGCAAACAAATTGTAAATAAGGAGTCTTTATTATTTGCGTATCAGCTAGTGTTATACCACGCTCAAGATATCTTAATGAAACGTAAGACCTGCATCGTCGTTTCAACCATACGCAAAACGTTCAGTTCGCTGACTTTAAAGTTTACTTGTATCTTTGAAACATTAGGTGGCATTTTATCATCTACCCGTTCAACATTTGAAAACTTTGAAGGATTCAAAGGAAACAAGGATAAAATTTCTAGAAAAATGCACCCTTCCGATGATTTTCTTCAGAGCCTCGGCATTAATGCTCAACGTTCAGACACTGAACAAGGTTTGCGTATTTATATGTCATCTATGACATGTAAATCGAAAACAATGTAACACTATATTGATCGTGCTTTCAGATCGGCAAAAACCTTCGCAAAACAGTGGTACAGGATCTTCAAACTCGACATCCATCCAAGAAAAAGGTAAAGAAGCAACCATAGACCCTTTGAATCAATTAGATCCTTTATGGTCCATTAGAAGATAAACAATTATAATTGGAAGTGAAGTTTTATTATGCATTAATTAATTAATTAATTAATTAATTAATAAATCTATTATTTAAATAAATGTTTCCATTCCCGTATTTCTTAAATTAACATTGCTAGTGTTAATGGAAAACAACGGTATCGAGACAATTGTATAAACAAAACGCAATTCATATTAGTACAAATGAATTACACTTCTGGAAAAAAAGACATGTATTGTTCATTCATTTCTTAGTCCTTAAGAATCGGGGGTTCTTACAGTCCG